ATTCAAAACTCGCCTGGACACGTTCCTGTGTAACCTTATCTAGGTGTTCCTGCTCCGGCAGGGGGATTGGACTAGGTGATCTTTTGAGGTCCCTTCCGATCTCTAGCATACTGTGATACTGCGATACACCGCTTGTCCCTGTTCGACATGCATCAAAGGGGATAGCTGGCAGACTGAGGGTGTGCTGGCCCTGAGGAACTGCACGTGGCACCCACCGCTGCGCAAAGAGGAGTTAAAGAGCATCTCGAGCGTGTGCGGCGTCGGGGGAGCGAGCCCGCTTTCGACACAATAGCCCCTCAACTGCGTCGGGGCCGGTGCCTAGTGCAGCGCGTTCTATAGCGCGGCGTAACAGCGCCTCGGCAGAGCTGTGGGCGGCTCTGACAGCGGCAACACCGCAGCGAGCGATAAGCGAGAGAGTAGCGAGCAGCGACCCCAGGGTCAGTGTCCGAGCGCGCCCGGCTGCCGGTGCGGGCAGGAGGAGCCCCGCGTCGATGGCGGCCCAGGGCCAGGCCACGCAGCGGCGGCTGCAGAGCTTGGAGGAGGAGCAGCGCTGTGGAGACGAGGTGGTGCGGCACCCGACGGCGAAGGTGAGAGCGGGGGGCAGCCCAGGCACGCTGCTGGCCCCGCCGCTGCCGCCTGTGGAGCCGCCCGCTCCGCCTGTCCCGCACCTCCGCGCACACGCGGGGCTGCGAGCGCCGTCGTGCGGTACCGAGCAGGGGCTGGAAGCGCGGGAGGGGTCGAGCGGCGGCGAGGAGGGACCTGTGCAGGGGGGGAAATGGGCAGTGCTGGGGCGTGGGGAAAAGCTGCAGAAGGAGCCGTGTCTGGTACAAGCTCCCCCTCACTCCGTGTACCTATCCAGGTACTGAAGTACTGGAAGCAGTGCGAAGCGTTAGAGAAGCAGCTGGAAGTACGAGGGGTGAGCGTGCGGGCTGCCAACTAAAGACGGCAGGCCAGAAAAATCCCATCAAGGATCTTAGAATCCCAGAGTGGTTTGTGTTAGAAGGGACCTTAAAGCTCCTCCAGTTCCAACCCCTGCCACGAGCAGGGACCCTTCCACTAGAAGCCCTGTCCAAGCTTCTCTGGGCAACCTGCATCAGGGCCTCACCATGGTCACAGGGTAGAACTTCTTCCTAATGTCTAATCTAAATCTGCTCTCTGTCAGCGTGAAAGCGTGCTTTATTGCTGAAGCAGTAAAGCTTGACCCAGGTCTCAGGACAGGGCTACACTGCCTGTTCCGTTCTGTGGTTGTCTTTGGAGAAGAATGAGCTGGTTTCTTTCTAGCCTTCCCATTCTTGGTCTTGCACTGCCTTGCCAGTCTCATCAACTCTGTGCTCTGCTGTTTTTTCTCCTTGACCTCTGTAAGCGGCGAGGAGAAGCAGACAAGCCAACCCAATATGGGTGATAAGCAACTTCTCCTTTATTTGTGACGCAGTTCACACATATATAGGAGTGGTATTCAGCCACTCCTTCTTGGCACAACAGTATTGGTTAGCCCCCACAGCTTCCTCCACATTCTCCTCCCAGGTCCGGTCTCCGGCCACCTGTGGGGGCCACCCCCTGCCTTGCTTGCACAGTCCTCCAGAACTCTATGGTTCTGCTCTTAGAGTCATTCTGCAACAGACCTCCACCACATCATCAGACCTTTGGCCTTCTCTCTGCTTGCTTCTTCTCGCACGTATCTGGAGCCATCTTCCCTGCTCACTGCAGTGAAGAATGGCTCTAGATTGCTTGTTTATGCTCCTTCCCTGCCTATCGCTTGCAGGCCCTAGGAGAAAAGCTTTATGCCAAGGACACCATCAGCATGCTGCAGCACAAGTGCAGACAGCAGGAAGAGGAGTGCAAGAGGCTGCATCAAAGACTTGAGCAATTGGAGGAGGAATGCAGGTCATCCAGGGAGCAGCAGCACCTGCAGGCTCTGACAGATGCACCCAGAAGGTGAGTGTTTCCTCCTCTTCCTGTGTTCTAGAAGCAATCTGCTCCCAATTCTAAGAGTTCAGAGGTGTTACGGGCAAAGAAATCACCTGCCCTACCTCGTGTATGCCTGTTTGGCACTTTAGCATCCCTCTGTCACAGCTTTTCATGCTCTACTGTGAATGCTGAGGCAGGACCAGGAGATTCAGCGTGCTGTTGGAATACAAGAGTCCTCCCTCTCGACATGCTGATTCTCGGAGTGCTTGTTCTTTAGGTGCCCTTTCCTAGCCACTGCTTCTCAGTGAATGAAGGCAAATGCCTGCCTTCCTTACATCTTCCCTCTTCAGTTATCTTGTGAGGGGAAGAGGAAATTTTTCCTTACTGTGCTGCCCACAGCTCCATCCTGGCATGATGAAAATGGGATTCGTGACTGTTCAGGCCTCTTCATTCTTCTGACTAAGCCTTGTCTCTGCCGTGACTGTGCCAAGCTTAGGAAAATCAAGGATGACCTGCAGCAAAACCTTCTAATAATGGAACAGGCTCAGCTGCTAATGCCTCAGTTAGCTTGAAACTTTCCCTTTCCTTAGCCAGCTGAGCTGGTTTCTTTCTAGCTTTGCCATTCGCGTTCGCTGCCTTGCCAGTCTCCCCAGCTGTGTGCTCTGCTGCTTTTTCTCTTTCTCTGCTGACTAAGCCTTGTCTCTGCAGTGACTGTGCCAAGCTTAGGAAAATCAAGGAGGATCTACAGCAAAATCTAACACAGAAGCAAGAAACTTGCAGTCTGCCTCAGCATAAGACTGAACTGCAGCTGAAGGAAAAGGTGGAGCAGCAGCAGGCACTGGAGAGAGTGCATCGTGACCATGGGCACCTGTGAGTTTTAAAGCTTTCTCTGGGCAGGGCTGAGCACTGCTGGGCTTAAGGAGGCCCACCATAAAGATAACAACTTTGGCACGCTTATCATGAGTAGCATAGAAAGGTGAAGGGAGCACCTGGGCAGGTCTGGCTCCCTACTGACACACAGCACAGCTCCTGGCAAAGAGTGCTGCAGCTCTAATCAGAAAATTCCCACATTCTTTAAGTGTACATAGAAAGCTGTTGGAAATCATTCCAACTGCCGTATCTTGGACATAGCTTGTATCTTAGTTTTAGAAAGGAGAACGTTTTCACAGGAAAAACTTAATTGGAGAAATTGCTCCTTCACAGGAATCAGCTGATGCAGGACGATCATGAGCTTACGGAGGCACTGAAGAAGGTACAGTCACCTTATGGGAGAGGGAGATGTGACAGCCAGATCATCCCAGGTGCTGTTTCTGGCAGCTGAAGGCAGGGAAAATGTTCTTCTCCTTGAAAAATGGTGGTCAGAGCACACAGGCTCTTTGGGTAGTTGATCCCCACCACGTTGCGATTGGGAGAGCTGAACTGGGAGCACGTCAGAGACACACGGGATGTGGAGCTGCTCCTTGAAGTCGAGGATTTTCCTGTCCAAGCCAGACCTCCTACAGAGGATACAAGTCCCAGAGCTCTCTGGGTGGGCATTTGGCTGCTTGGCTCAGTGAAGCTGCATCTGATGGATTCTGCCGTGGTTTTGTCAAGGAGACGCTTGGTAGTGCTGGAGGTCGCAAGGCTTTGGTTACTTCTTGGAAACGTGTTGATGGCTTGCAGAGCCGTTGTGCACTTCTCTCAGTTGTCTTCTGTCCCAGGCAACCCAGTATGGCTTTACCCATCACTTTCACATTAATGGTGCCAGTGCCTTTTGCCAGCCCAGGGTATTAGAGCACTACTCAGCAGAGGCCCTGAAACTTTCAGCCCCCAGTACAGGAGTTATTACTCAGCCCACTGCTTCAGAAGTTGCACCGCTGCCTCTGCACACAACTGTATTTTGCTCTGTTTTCAGGTTTACCACCAGCAAGATTCGACCAAGCTTGATCTGGAGCAGCTGCTCCAAGAGTCCTCTGGCCAAGTGCACACTCTGGCCAGGATGTCCAGCAAGAAGGAATTGCTGGTGCGCAAGGTGGCTGCCCTAGAGGTGCAACTGTCAGCCTTGGAGCAGGACAGACAAGGCCTTTCAGAGCAGCTGACACAGGCCAGGTAAAGGCAGGGAGGAGACCCTAGGCAGGATGGTACTGAAGGTCTGTAATTACAGAGGTGGGAATCGTTACTTGAGGATTTATTGCATCCTGTGTGCTTTGCAGATATTTTCACCTTCCATGGACAGAAAATGGAAGAATCTTGAGAAAAAAAAAAAAAACATAAGCAAGGAGTACACTGTGATTTGAATGTTATTTTTCTGACAGCTACAGCTAACAAAAGTCTCCTGAGCCTTCGGCTCATGTTTATGCCCCCTTGCACATTCCTGTGTGAAGTCCAAAGCAAGCCAATATAATTCTTCAGTATCTGGTACCTTGGCTCTGCATTGAGTAATAACTCATCCATAGAGATCTTTACTGAAACCGGAAGCTTCTTTCTGGTTTTGGTTTCTTGGTTTGTGTGTTTGAACATAGACCTCTCCTTAGTAAGTCGTTCGACACAGGATGTTCAGAATTCAGGTCTAGAGGCTCATGCTGAAAATCTGGAGGGCACTTCTTACTGGAGTGACTTCCTGTGGGTGTCAGGAGCAAGAAACTCATTTCTCTCTGTATTCACAACTTGAAGGTCAGTGAACGAGACCCTGGAGAACAGCCTATCTGAGGCTCAGCGGCACATACTGCAGTTGGAGATCACCAAGAGCCAGCTGGAAATCCAACTTCAAACAGTCACACAGGCCAATGAACTGATACAAGGTGAGAGCCTCATGTGCTTTGCTTCCCTTGACCCCCGTGGCCAGCGGGCTTTCTGCAGTGCTTCTAAGTGAAGGAGCTGGAAAGAGTTCCCTCCTCCACTGACCTTCAAATGGCTTTAGGTTAGTAAGGCCAGAACCCCTTGCGTAGACTCTGAATCCTCCCATTTGTTGCGTTTGCAGGGGAAGTGAAGTGCCTTAGATGGAAGCTGGAAGCTGAGAGATATCTCATGCAGCAGGAAAGGAAGACCATGGCAGAACAGCTCTCGCAGGCAGAACAGCAGCATGACGAGACTCTCAAGCTTCTGGAAACTGATCACGAAGTGGAAGTAAACAAGCTCCTGCAAGCCCTGGTAGGAAACAATATGCTTCTGACTTCTTCAAGCAAGCTTTGTGGCTTGGCTTTAGAAGAGTAATAGCCTGAGCGTGAGAACTGGCAGCAGGCCCCTCTCATAGGCCACATCTTGCTAGGCCAGGCAGCAGAGCCAATGGCTTGTACTTGAAGGCACATGAAAAGTCATAGGACTATGCTGGAACAGTAAATGCAGCCACAGATTCAGTTCAACAAAAGGCTGGGTGGTCCCCAAGGCATGGTACCAAAGAAGTGGGATCTTACCAGACTCCTGCCTACCATGAAGAAGACTCCTAACAGTGCTGGGGACTGCAGCCAAGCAAACTTTGTTCCTTCCTTTCGTTCTTTCATGGCTGATAGAGGAAGTATCCTTGGGCTTGAAGTATATGGAACAGTCCCCTTGTTCCTGGTACTTTGTTTGTGGCCATGTCTTACGTCAGCGTTGCAAGGCGAAAACTAGTCCTGACTTCAAACACAAAATGACAGTCTGATGTGAGCATTATTCCTCCAAGAGGGCACAGTGGGCTTCTAGAGGATGGAACCATGAAAACACTGCACAGTAGAGATATTAAAAAAAAAAAAAGGCAGAAACCAAGTAGTGAAATGAAACGTCAGGCTTGTTCTCTCTTCCTTTCCCCCCTAATAGAGAGAACATCATCATGCCGTGCTTAAATCATGGTTAGTCTGCCCTTTAAGTCCTGGCTGTAGTCCTTGGTAGCTCATCCCCAAAAGAACAAACAAGAGCTAGAAGGGGTTCAGAGAAGGAAAGAAAGGAAGCTGGGCCTGGCTGAGTAAGCTGGGAAAGAATGAGAAGGGTGGCACAGGAAAGGTCTGCAGGATCCCGAGAGGCAGGGAGAGAGCAGGCAGCCCCTGACTGCCACCGGAGCAGGAGTTGAAATCTCGTATGAAAACCAAACACATACAGATGGAATTATTGAACCTTTTTCTCCCTGTTTTACAGCATGAACGGGACAGGCTGCAAGCAGCGAAGGCAAAAGCTTTGCAGGAGACTCTCACTTACATGATCACCATGCTGTCAGAGAGGGAGGGAGAAACGTTGTGCCAGGAACAGACAAGAACGCCGGAAAAGCAGAGAGAAATGCATGAAACTGCTCCCAGCCAGGTTATCAATGACGTAACGGATCAAAACCCGGAGTCACTACAAAAGCAAAACCAGGAAGCCGGAGAGGCCACGGAAATGCTGTTAAGGGCTCTCCGTGAGCATGTGGAACAGACCTTAAAAACCTTAAAAGAAAAGGACAGACTCCTAGCCATCCAAAGGCAACAAACAAGGAGCTATGAGGAGAAAACAGAAGAACAGATGAATGTCTTGCGCAAAGACTTAGAATACGCTAAGGCAGAACTGAAAGAAAAGGATTTTGTGATCGAATCTCAGAAGGAAGTGATTGAGACCTTCCAAAACCAAGAAAAAGACTCTGAACAGCACAAGAAAATTCTGCTTGAAGTGGCAGTTGAAGTGGCACTAAAGGAAAAAGATCAAGAAACTGTATCCCTTAGAAAGCAATGTGAGGCATGCAAGGAAAAGGAGAAGCAGCACGGAGCTGAGCAAGAAAAACTGCAAGCAACAGAACGGACTCTGAAAAAGAGAGAAAAGAAGATAAGGGCTCTGGAGGAGACTGTCTTGAAGCTTCAACAGCAAAAGAACGAGGCAGTGGTGATGATTAAAACCATACAGCAAAAACTACAACACACGGAGTCTTCTCTAGGCACCCGAGAGAAGGAGATAATGTCTTTACAAAGACATGTACAGGACCTTCAAAAGCAGAAGGAGTTAGCAGGCAAACAGGCCAGGACTCTAGAGCAGAATCTTGAGAAAATGAGACAAAGACTGAAGGAGAACAATTTGAAGTTCCTCAAGCAGACAGAGGAAAGTAACATGTCATCGCTGTGTGGTGATCTGCTTGAGAAAGTAGTGAAGAAGAGAGACACAGACAGGTTTCATCACCAGGTAGGCACTGTGACTGCTCATCAGTCAAGTAAAACATCTATAAAGGATTCTAATGATGTTTCCCGTCAAGAAACTTGAAGGCACATGAAAAGTCACAGGACTATGCTGGGACAGTAAATGCAGCCACAGATTCAGTTCAACAAAGGTTTGGATGGTCCCATCAAACTATGACCTGCTTGGCCAAAAGAGGCCACGACTGCAGCTAGCAGGCTTGCCTGTCTGCATAGCTCCGGCCAGAGCCCATTCACCTGCTAGAATGGTTTCTGTCAAGCCCACAGGTACTGAAAGAACTACAGAGCTTGTTGTTCAAATGAACTCAAGTCCAAAAGTTGGGGGTGGGTACTTGGCCCTCTCCTGTCTAAGCAACCTTGGCCAACATGTTGTGGTTAGGACTTGGCATGTGCCAAAAATGGTTGAAAGAAAATGCGTGTGGATTTCTCCAAGGTGATGTGGAGGAGGGCCCCTGGGAAGAGATTTTGTTGTGTTGGGCTGGAGGGGAAGAAGGGACTTAGCACGTTCTAACCTTTGTGTGGCACCAGCTCACGTAACCTCCTCTCTGAATACCCAGCAGGCTATTGCAGAAGGAGTGCAGCAATCGTGGCTCTTGGAGAAGAAGCTCCTGTTGCAACAGCTGGAAAGTTTGCAGCAAGAAGTTGCAAGGCTGAAACTTGCCAACACTGAGCTGAAGGAATTCAATGCTGAACTCAAGAAGTCTCTTGAGGAGGTGAAACAGGCTTTCCCTGCCCACGCTAAGCCTCACAGTCTTCTGGAGCACCACACGTCTCCACAGACAGCAGTTTGGGGTCCTCTGCTTGTTCCCTTCCCTATCCCGCTCTCCCCTCGGACACACCCTTTTGTGTTTTCCTTCTCTTCTGGCACCTCATTTGCCTTCACAAATGCACATTAACTCCAGTACCACCCTTCTTACCCTGCTGTCCCTATACACACATACTGGACTCTCAGGAGTCCAGTGTCAGGAAGTATTTCATCTTGCTCTTTCTTGTCCGTAGTCTACACTGAGTGCTTTTTGAGCCCAACATTTTCGCCCGAGAGGCCCTTTCGCTCGTTGTTTGGTGGCAGGTTTCTGTGACCCATTCTCCTAGAAACGTGCAGGTGGAATGTCAATGGAGGAAACTGATGAGGCTCCACTGTGATCAGTCTCTTCCAGGTGCAAGTGGATCTTCCTTCTCCAAGCCTCACCACACAAGACGCCTGCTTCTAGGTGAGAACAGAGGCTTAGTTGGTGGGAGGAGGCTCTGACACATCCCAGGGGCAGCAGCCCCCCAGTACAGACCTACTAGAAGTTGAATACAGACCTAGTATAAGTCAAATATAGACCATGGTCCTGGCCAAACTGGAGACCAAAAAGAAATCCTTGTGTTTTCTTTACAGGAGGAGTCCTATGCACGCTGCAGGCATCAATGACCTGACTTGCAGAACCAGGGGAGGAGCCAGAAAGCTCTCACTTCCTGAGCAGCTGTAGCACCACATGGTTCCTGTCCTCTATCCTTCCCAGAATCATCGTCTTTTACTGCTGTGGGACAGAGGGGTGGATTTGTTCTCTTGACATTTAGAAGTAGTTTACATGTGGGCAGGGACTCCCGACTTTCCTTTTTTGTTTCTTAATAGAAGACATTCTGCAGTCATTCAGTATGGAGAAGCAAGTGGTTTTCCTTCCTGCCCTTTTTTATAGAGGGGTGCCTCGCTGGCCAGTCTCCAGTCCTTTGGGACCTGCCCACTGGACCAGGACTGCTGACAGATGATGGAGAGTGGCTTGGCAAGCTCCTCTGCCAGCTCCCGTGGGTACTCCTGACCCACAGATTTGTGTACATCTAAGAGGAGCAGGAGGTCGCTAACCATTTCTTCCTGCGTTATGGGGACTCCAGTCAGCTCTTCATCACTGCCATCCGGCTCAGGGAAGCGAGTACCCTGAGGATGGCTGGTGTGACTATTAAGCCTGAGGCAAAGGCAGCATTAACCACCACAGCCTTTCTCCCATCCTCAGTCACTAGGTTGCCCCTAGTATCCAATAGAGAATGGAGGTTCTCCTTGGCCCTCCTTTCATTGCTAATGTATTTGTAAAAGTACTTTTCATTAGCTTTTATGGCAGTGGCCAGATTTAGTTTCCATCTGTGCCTTTCTACTTTTCTCCCTACAGACCTAACAACATCCCTGTACTTCTCCTGGGGTGACAGTCCCTTCTTCCACAGGGGATAAAGCCTCTTCTTCCCTGAGTTCCAGCAACATCTCCCTGTTGAGCCAGGCTTGTTTCTCCCCCGCTGGTTGATTTGTGGCACATAGGGACCGCCTGCTCCTATGCCTTGAGGCTTTAAGTCTTGAAGAGGATCCAGCCTTCCTGGACCCCTTTGTCCTTCAGTAATGTTTCCCAAGGTATTCTGCCAGCCAGCGCCCTGAACAGGCTGTCGTTGTTTAAACCCTAGCCAGACAGCTTGTTCGCTCACTCCCAGTGAGTGGTGCCGGGGTGGAAGCAAGTGAGGCCCACTGCCGCCCCCCCCCCCCCCCCCCCCCCCCCTCCCCGGGGCTCTCCCCTTCCCTGCTCCCGGAGGAACGGGGAGGAGGATCAAAAGAGTGCAACTCCCACGGGTTGAGACAAGAACAGTCCAGCAACCCATGTACAACACAAATCACCACCGCTACCGCCACCGACAACAATGGGAAGAGAAAATAACAAGGGAAGAGAATACAATACCACCCGCTGAGAAACGAGTCCCACCCAGAAGACCCCGTGTCCTTCCGGGTAACTCCCAGTTACACCCTGGGCATGACGAGCTGTGGTATGGAATAGCTCTTTGGCTAGTCTGGGTCAGGCATCCCATCTCTGCTTCCTCCCGCCTTCCCCTCCTCCCTGGCAGAGCATGAGCCTCACAAAGTCCTTGGTCAGGGTAAACATCACTTAGCAACAACCAAAAACATCGGTATTATCAGCACTGTTCCCAGGCTGGAAGTCAAAACACAGCACTGCACCAGCTACCAAGAAGGAGAAAAATGACTGCTACTGCTGAACCCAGGACATTATCCACCCCTTATTCCATACCATTCTCGTCATGCTCAGATCCCACATTTTCAATATACCATCGCTCTCCCAGATGTATATACATCTCTCGTGGTTTAAACCCAGTCAGGTAACTCGTTCACTCACTCCCCCCTTCTTTCCCTCCCCCTACTCCTGGAGGGACGGAGAGGAGAATCGAAAAGAATGCAACTCCCACGGGTTGAGATAAAAACAGTAACTAAGGTATAACACAGATCACTACTGCTACTACCAATAATAACAATGATAAAGGAAATAACAAGGGGAGACAATACGTCACCTCACCACCAGCCAACCGGTAACTCACCCCCCCCAGCCCGACCAAGCCCCGACCCATACCTCCTCCAACCCCGCAGTCTCAGCCCTTCCGGCTAACTCCCAGTTACATCCTGGCCATGACGTGCTGCGGTATGGAATACCTCTTTGGCTAGCTTGGGTCAGGCGTCCCGTCTCTGCTTCCTCCCGCCTTCCCCTCCTCCCTGGCAGAGCATGAGGCTCACAAAGTCCTTGGCCAAACCAAAACATCATTGTTATCAGCTCTGTTCCCAGGCTGAAAGTCAAAACACTGCACTGCACCAGCTACCAAGGAGAAAAATGACTGCTACTGCTGAACCCAGGACAACATACATATACACACAGACCAAGAGAAAGAGATCATTTTCTTAGTGCATGGACCAATCCCTATAATGCTGCCGAGTCCATTCGGTCCATGATGTCATGTTCCATCTCTTGTAACAATCTTTCAGGGCAGGAAAGGCTGTGTGCAGTATTGGATCGTTGCCTGCTGATGCTGGTCGTTCCTTTACTGCAGAACTCATCAGGTTCTATCAAAGTTCATTCTCTGTTGGGATGATGGTTGGCGGGAAGTCAGGGCCAGTCGCTGGTGACCTGAAGACATCTAGTTGATGGGCTACAGAAGTATTACACAGCGGGCAACAGCATACAATTGAGTTCACTGGCTGTTTTCCCCTAAAATCAAATCCCCTTGAGGTATACATCGGACTTTCCCATCTTCCCGCATTACCCACCAAGTATATCCAGGTCCCTGAGCAAAAGCAATCCCACGAGTGGGTTTGCCTTTACCTGAAGCGGGAATAACCCAGACTGTCTTCCCCAGCAAATTCTTCATATGCACCACGGGAACTTTGTCCCCCTCTACAATATGTAAAAGTTCTGACTGGGCTGGGCCAGCCCTGTTGACAGATCCTCTGGTGTTGACCAACCAGGTGGCCTTTGGTAAGTGTGTATCCCAATACTTGGAAGTTCCCCCACCCATTGCTCTCAGTGTAGTTTTTAACAGCCCACTGTACCCTTCGATTTTCCCGGAAGCTAGTGCATGGTAGGGGATGTGATATACCCACTCAATGCCATGCTCTTTGGCCCAAAGATCTAGAAGGTTATTCCGGAAATGAGTCCCATTGTCTGACTCAATTCTCTCTGGGGTGCCGTGTCGCCACAAAATCTGTTTCTCAAGGCCCAGGATAGTGTTCCGGGCAGTGGCATGGGGCACAGCGTATGTTTCCAGCCACCGGGTGGTTGCTTCCACCACGGTAAGCACATGGCGCTTGCCTTGGCGGGTTGGTGGCAGTGTGATACAGGTAATCTGCCAGGCCTCCCCGTGTTTATACTTCAACCATAGTCCTCCATACCAAAGAGGCTTTAACCGCTTGGCTTGTTTAATTGCAGCACATGTTTCACACTCATGAATAACCTGGGCAATAGTGTCCATTGTTAAGTCCACCCCTCGATCACGGGCCCATCTGTATGTTGCATCTCTGCCCTGATGGTCTGAAGTGTCATGGGCCCACCGGGCCAAAAATAATTCACCTTTATGTTGCCAATCTAAGTCCATCTGAGCCACTTCAATCTTAGCCGCTTTATCCACTTGTTGGTTGTTCTGGTGTTCCTCAGTGGCCCGACTCTTGGGTACATGGGCATCTACATGACGTACCTTCACCACCAGGTTCTGCACCCAGGCAGCAATATCTTTCCACAGTGCAGCAGCCCAGATGGGTTTACCTCTGCGTTGCCAGTTGCTCTGCTTCCATTGCTTCAACCACCCACCCCCACAGGGCATTTGCCACCATCCATGAATCAGTATTGTGACGAGTGACTACGGATCTGGTCAGATCTGTTGTTATCTCAACCCCTCGTGCCCCACGTTGGGCGCCAAAAAAAACTGTCGTGGTTTAAACCCTAGCCAGACAGCTTGTTCACTCACTCCCAGTGAGTGGTGCTGGGCTGAGAGCAATCAAGCGCCCGCCCACCCGGGGCTCTCCCCTTCCCCGCTCCCCGAGGAACGGGGAGGAGGATCAAAAGAGTGCAACTCCCACGGGTTGAGACAAGAACAGTCCAGCAACCCATGTACAACACAAATCACCACCGCTACCACCACCGACAACAATGGTAAGAGAGAATAACAAGGGAAGAGAATACAATACCACCGGCCAAGAAATGAGTCCGACCCAGAAGACCCCGTGTCCTTCCGGGAAACTCCCAGTTACCCCCGCCCTGGGCGTGACGTGCTGTGGTATGGAATACCTCTTTGGCTAGCTTGGGTCAGGTGCCCCGTCTCTGCTTCCTCCCAGCTTCCCCTCCTCCCTGGCAGAGCATGAGCCTCACAAAGTCCTTGGTCAGGGTAAACATCACTTAGCAACAACCAAAACCATCGGTATTATGAGCTCTGTTCCCAGGCTGGAAGTCAAAACACAGCACTGCACCAGCTACCAAGAAGGAGAAAAATGACTGCTACTGCTGAACCCAGGACACAGGCCAAGGTCATCCCTCTGGGAGTGTAAGGTGGAGGGTTTGGAATTTTCTCATGATTTTTAATACGAGACGTTCTGCGCTTGCTCAGCTGGCAGAAGCAAGCGGTAGGTAAATACGTAGCTTGGGGAAAGACTGTGCTAGATTTTTGCTTGCACAAGTAAGCTGTGGGGGGTGGAATGTATCGAAACTGTCAGAGACCATGGGAAGGAGGAACTACAGTAGGCAATTAAGAGTGACCGGTCCCTGACTGGTACTTGGAAGATGTTGGAACTGGCAAGGAACAAGGACGTTGGAACTGGAAAGAGGATGTCGATAAGAAAATCAGACAGGCCTTTCACCTGATGTAACCACAAGGCAAAGACAGATGTGCTTGGCTGATTG